TATACAGTCCGTTTCATATTTCTTTTATCCACCCCCCAAAAAAGAGGTTTTATGGAGAATGGGTGGAGATATCGAGCTATTTTCTTTTGCAATAGAAAGACCATATTGTAAAACCCTAAAAAACACCGTTTTTGGGTTACTGGATTTTCTCAACAAAAAAAAACTAAGAAAGAAGATTCTGCGACCGTTTCACATTTCTTTATCCACCCTTAGGAACTTTGAAAATCAACATTTATTTAGCATTAACAACAAATAAAAAAGACATCAAGAATTGTGAACATAACAACTAATAATCTGATATAGCACCGGACCGGTTAATAACTTGATAGATTCGCTTATTCATACTTTTGATAAGGTTTTGGAGAGCCGTGGCGTCAATACGATTCCAGGCAATCTGAATTGATGCTTTTAGTTCCGAAGCGGTCGTAAATTGTCTCTGATGTTTGTAAACATTCCTGACAAGGATTCCCCACAGGTTTTCGATGGGGTTAAGATCCGGGGATCGTGCTGGCCAGTCCAAGATGTTGATTCCCTGCGATGTCAACCAGGCTTTTGTATGAACGGAGCGATGAATTGAAGCATTGTCATGCTGAAATGTGTAGACAGTCGCAACATTTTGCTGAATGAAAGGCAGAAGAGTGACTTTGAGCACTTCAGTATAATCTTGACTGTTCATTTTGCTGGAGACAAATTTCAAAGCGACCGTTCCATTGGCGCAAAAGGCTGCCCAACACATCACACTTCCTCCTCCGTAGTTACGCGTTCCGAAGATCAGTGGATCCTGTCGCAGGTCTCTCCAGTAATGCGAAACACCGTCTGGTCCGTCAAGATTCCATTTTTTTCATCAAAAAATATCACCTAAATAAAAACCGTTATTTCAGAGTACAGCATTTCCCAACCTTGCTCCAATCAAAGTTCATATGATTTGCCTCGAGTCTAGACGGGCTTTCTTGTGCTCTTGCTTTAAGGCAGGCTGTTGATTTAGGCGTTCACGATCGATATGAGGATTTTCTTTAACGGCACGCCAGATAGTTGTCTTCGAAGCAGCGATTTTCAGCTCATTTTTGACCTCATTGATAGACTTTCCAGGAATTGAATTCACAATGTGACGCTTAACTTGAGATGTAAGCTGAGGTTTGGGCCCAGTCTTCTTTTTAGGAGTGGTCACGTTCTTGTTCTTTACATAACGTCGAATGCAATTGTGATTGCGGCCCAACAGCCTTGCGATTTCTCGAATACCCTTCTTGTCGATCTTGTAGGCATCGATCTGTCCCTTCTCGTAATCAGAAAGCACTTTCCAACGTCCCATTTCCTAAAATGACGACAAATGATTACAAAATATTTAAAAAATTTAAGTAAAGCAAAAAATGAATAGTAACATCAAATAAGCGTTGATTTTCAAAGTTCCTAAGGGTGGATAAAGAAATGTGAAACGGTCGCAGAATCTTCTTTCTTAGTTTTTTTTATGTTGAGAAAATCCAGTAACCCAAAAACGGTGTTTTTAGGGTTTTACAATATGGTCTTTCTATTGCAAAAGAAAATAGCTCGATATCTCCACCCATTCTCCATAAAACCTCTTTTTGGGGGGTGGATAAAGAAATATGAAACGGACTGTATACCCAAAAAGCCGCCTTAGATATGCAAAAGCCTTCTATACCTTTACCGGGCCTGGAACGGCTTCTAGACCTTCCCCAGATCGGCGACTGTACTATTTGGGTGGCTGGATCTAGTGCATTACTTGGCTTGACCTGTGCAAGATGCTATACTGCAGATGACTAGTTTAGTACAGTATCCAGCTGTACCTGTACCTGTTCACGCGTACTGTACCGTACTGTACGCGTACTGTACGCGTACTGTACCGTAACGCGCACTGTACCGTAACGCGAACTGTACCGTACCGTAACGCGTACTGTACTCGTACTGTACCGTACTGTACCGTAGCATTTAAGTGCTTAAACAGCGATTGTTGCTTAAGTGATTTATGAACACTTTTCAGCGGTTTGGACAACAAATGCTCTGTCGTTCCGCTTTCTTTCGAGGACGATATTTTGCAAAAGAAGAGAAGTGTGGCCACGCATACGTCTTATATGTCTTGTTGTATGTTCCTGCGATCCGACAACCTTCTGTTAACTGGTGCGTTGGAGATTTGACCGTTTAATCTTTTAGATCTCTTACATTTGATCTTTTTATCTTTTAATCTTTGAAACGAATCGAAAGCGCCGTCTTATATACGCGAAAGGCCGTCTTATATACGCGAAAGGCCGTCTTATATACGCGAAAGGCCGTCTTATATACGAAAAGATCTCTTAGATCTCTTAGATTTGATCTTTTAGATCTTTTAGATCTCTTAGATCTCTTAGATTTGATTTTTCTTAGGATCCGGTGACTCAACGTGTGCAATTTGGGATGTAGAAAGCGGGCAAATGATCCAAAATTTTCACGGGCACACTGGAGACGTTTTTGCGGTCGATGTGCCGAAGCAGGACACCGGAAACATCTTTATTTCAGCGGTAAGGGGTTATTTTGCACTACCTTTTGCCTAAAACGCCTGCCTAAAACGTTGCTAAACATGAAAATTAGCTTTAAAAACTGGCTGCTAACGGCAGCTGTAGACGGCAGCTGTAGACGGCAGCTGTAGACGGCAGCTGTAGACGGCAGCTGTAGACGGCAGCTGTAGACGGCAGCTGTAGCATGCTAACGGCAGCCTGCTAACGGCAGCCAGCTGTAGACGGCTTTGTAGACGAGATTTTGTACTTACTGGCTTTGTAGACGAGATTTGTAACTGAAATCGTCTGAAAACATCGTCTGTCTGGCAGTTTAAGGTTTTTCGTGTTTTTCTCAGCAACAGGGCTTCGATTTTGCCTGTGTTGACTATGATTCGATGCAGAATGAAATTGCGCGTCGAATGACATCAAAAACAATTCAAAAGCTTTTTCCCATGCAAAGATATGGAGCAAAAAGTTAAGCCCCGCCCATAATGGACGTGGCTTAGGTTTTTAGCCGATAACTTTGCATGGATATCATATTTTGAGTTGCTTTTGATATCATTCGACGCGCAATTTCATGCTGTATTTAATGATGGTCAAAATTAACTCAAAATATAATATAGAGCCAAAGTTGTTGGCTAAAAATCTAGACCTAGCCTTTTGCTGTTGGCAATTCACTTTTTTTCGTTTTTTTTCTCAGCACTAAACCTTTGGTTTCATTTATTTTGACGATGATTCGATGCAGAATCGAATTGCGCGTCGAATGATACCAAAATGAACTCAAAATGTTTTTTTCCATGCAAATTTATGGGGTAAAAACCTCACCAAGCCCATAATGGGAGGGCCTAACTTTTTGCTCCATAACTTTGCATAGGAAAAAGATTTTGAATTGGCTTTGGTATCATTCGACGCGCAATTTCATTCTGTATTTAATGATGGTCAAAATTAACTCAAAATATATAATAGAGCCAAATTTGTTGGCTAAAAACCTAAACCACGTCCATTATGGGAGGGGCTTAACTTTTTGCTCCATAACTTTACATGGGAAAAAGATTTTGAGTTGTTTTTGATGTCATTCGACTCGCAATTTCATTCTGCATCGAATCATAGTCAACACAGACAAAGTCAAAGCCTTATTGCTGAGAAAAACAGGAAAAACTTTACCTTGCCAAAGGCAAAAAAGAACGGACAGATTTTTACATGTTTACTGTATTATTTGATCGTAATTTTTCGATTTCAGGGCGCTGACAAGCACACTCTCGTCTGGGATATTCGATCTGGGCAATGCGTGCAATCTTTTGAAGGACATGAAGCGGACATCAACACTGTTAGGTTGGCGATGGGAAATAGATTCAATACGGTGACTGTAAAGTTTCTTTAGAGCCTTAGAGCTCTATCGTAGGTTACTGTAGGTTACTGTAGGTCACTGTAGGCCACTGTAGGTCACTGTAGGTCACTGTAGGTCACTGTAGGCTACTGTAACGTGCGCTGAGCTTTCGCCAAACTAAACAACACAATAAACAACATAACAACATCATTTTCGTTCCTAGGTATAAACGGATATGGACTAGAATTTGGGTTAAACTAAAGAGAGTGGATCCTTTTGATGTCCCGCCATCTCTAACACCCCACCAACTCAAGACAACGTCCTTCTAGGTCCTTCTAGGTCCTCCTAGGTCCTTCTAGGTCCTCCTAGGTCCTCCTAGGTCCTTCTAGGTCCTCCTAGGTCTTTCTAGGTCCTTCTAGGTCCTCCTAGGCTCCTAGGTCCTCCTAGGCTCCTAGGTCCTCCTAGGCTCCTAGGTCCTCCTAGGCTCCTAAGTCCTCCTAGGCTCCTAGGTCCTCCTAGGCTCCTAGGTCCTCCTAGGCTCCTAGGTCCTCCTAGGCTCCTAGGTCCTCCTAGGCTCCTAGGTCCTCCTAGGCTCCTAGGTCCTCCTAGGCTCCTAGGTCCTCCTAGGCTCCTAGGTCCTCCTAGGCTCCTAGGTCCTCCTAGGCTCCCTAGGTCCTCCTAGGCTCCTAGGTCCTCCTAGGCTCCTAGGTCCTCCTAGGCTCCTAGGTCCTCCTAGGCTCCCTAGGTCCTCTAGGCTCCTAGGTCCTCCTAGGCTCCTAGGTCCTCCTAGGCTCCTAGGTCCTCCTAGGCAATCCCAAGGACCGCCTCGGCGATAAAGGGGATAAGCACAGGGCAACACACTTGCATAAGAATAGACAAATCATTCAATAATAACGATAGTAACTAAAATATCAGTTTGGCTCGGAGCTGACAATAATAAACGATCCCAAACGACAAAGCCTTAGAGCTCGATCGTAGTTTACTGTAGGTTACTGTAGGCTACGGGAGGCTACTGTAATGAGCGTTGAGTTCTCGCTAACTAAACATAATAAACGATTTTCTAGATTTCATCCTAACGGCGACGCTTTTGCGACTGGATCTGATGATGCGTCGGTGAGAAATTGTAGAAATTGAAAAGAAACAAGAGATTTGCTCTTTCTGCTTTCCATTCTCTTTCTACTTTCCCAATTTGCCGTCTCTTTCAGTGCCGTCTCTTCGATTTGCGCGCGGATCGTCAAGTGTGCGTCTACGAGAAAGAATCGATCCTTTTCCCGGTGAACGGCGTTGATTTCTCGTTATCGGGTGAGTGCAATTGGAAAGCTGGAGCGCACGAGAAAAAATGAAAATGGAAAAAATGCGAAAAGTTGTAGTATTAGTACTGTGCATAGTACTGTAGTGGAAGCTCTAAATTACCCAGAACGACCTGAAAATCATCTTTTTTGCTAGCGTGACATCCAATTCGAAAGATAATCCATTTCATTTCATTTGCAATTTCAGGCCGAATCCTCTTTGCCGGCTATGGGGATTATCGCGTCGGCGTCTGGGACTCGCTGAAGGTGAGAAAGACAGAAAAAAAGGGCAACTAGCTTTATTTGGTGAAGAAGAAGCCGAGATTATTATAGAATACCAAGAAAACCCAGCCGGGACTCGAACCAGGGTCGTTCGGGCTGAGACACAAGCAAGCTAACCACTCGGCCATCCGAACTTTGAGTTATTTTTAGTCACTGAGCATTTCAAAAGGTTCTGTGAGTTCCAGAATTTACGAAAATCAACCTCAGTTAGCTTAAATGCTAAAATTTCGGCATATTTTCGAGAGATCTCAAATCAAGCCGTTAAAACGAAGAAGAACTCAAAATTTTGACAAAATAACAAATTATTAGTGGGATCTGGATGTTACGTAATCCAGAGAAAATCTTAGTTTTTAAAAAAACCAATTTGAAAAAACCCTGCCGGGACTCGAACCTGCGTTGTTCGGGCTGGTAGACAAGCAAGCTAACCACTCGGCCATCCAAACTTTGATCTATTTTTAGTCGCTGATCATTTCAAAAGGTTCTATGAGTTCCAGGATTTACAGAAAACAGCTTCAATTCGCTTAATTTTCGAGATTTTGGGGGTTTTTTCGAGAGATCTCAAATCAAGCAGTTAAACTCGAGAAAAACAAAGAATTTCCACAAAATAACAAGTTATTAGTGGGATCTGGATGTCACGTAATCCATTGAAAGCATTAGTTTTTAAATATAAGCTAAACTTCTGGTGGCCGAATGGTTAGTGAGCTTGGCCATCCGAACTTTGATTTATTTTTAGTCACTGAGCATTTCAAAAGGCTCTGTGAGTTCCAGGATTTACGAAAAACAGCTTCAATTAGCTTAATTCTTGAGATTTTGGGGGTATTTTCAAGAGATCTCAAATCAAGCAGTTAAAACCGAGAAAAACAAAGAATTTCCACAAAATAACAGGTTATTAGTGGGATCTGGATGTCACGTAATCCATTGAAAGCTTTAGTTTTTAAATATAAGCTAAAATTCTGGTGGCCGAGTGGTTAGTGAGCTTGGTTCCAAGTCAAACGATCGAGGGTTCGAGTCCGCTTGGTTCCAAATTTTTTCTATTTTTTTGTAGAATTGAATTTTCCAGTTTGGTATGTTTTGGCACGGTTTAGGGAACAGATTTAAAGCTACTTTAGTCTTTATTTTTTAGGTGGTTCGACACTCGGTACTTTACGGGCACGAGAATCGGATTAGTTGCCTGCGAACGTCGCCCGACGGGACGGCCATCTGTTCGGCCAGCTGGGATTGCACAATTCGGGTACGTTAGGGTGACTTTGGCTCAAGATTACTATAGGGTTACTGTAGCTCGAGATTACTGTAGGGTTACTGTAGCTCTGAGATCTGGACTACCGTAGTTTTGTGCTAGGGGTTACAGTAACTGTAGAAACTTACTGTGACTTCCAGAAAGTCCAATTCTTCAATCAAAATCGAGAAGTTACTGTAGATCTGGCTTCTTTTGACGGGCTACTGTAGCGCCGGGTTACTGTAGTTTTGGATTAGCATAATCATGGGTTACTATAGCTCTAGAAACTTGCTGTGACTTCCAGAAAACCCAATTCTTCAATAAAAACCCGGAAGTTACTGTAGCTCTGGCTTCTTTTGGCGGGCTACTATAGCGCTGGGTCACTGTAGTTTTCTGCAATCATATTCCTGGGCTACTGTAACTCTAGAAACTTACTGTGACTTCCAGAAAACCCAATTCTTCAATAAAAACCCGGAAGTTACTGTAGCTCTGGCTTCTTTTGGCGGGCTACTATAGCGCTGGGTCACTGTAGTTTTCTGCAATCATATTCCTGGGCTACTGTAACTCTAGAAACTTACTGTGACTTCCAGAATGCTCAATTCTTCAATAAAAATCCAGAAGTTACTGTAGCTTTGGCTTCTTTTGGCGGGCTACTATAGCGCTGGGTTACTGTAGTTTTGGATTACCATATTCCTGGGCTACTGTAACTCTAGAAACTTACTGTGACTTCCAGAACGCCCAATTCTTCAATCAAAACGCAAAAGTTTCAGATCTGGGCCTAGTTCGTCGCTTCAACTCATCATCTACGCAACTATTCGGCTGTTTTCTTGAATTCCTCTCAACTTTTCTCAACTTTTTACAATTTCCTTTAAAATTACTGTAACAAGGCCAAAAAATGGCCGTTGTTTTTCGCGAAAAGTATGTCGATTTTACAGACAAAATTCGATTTTCAATTGAAATTCGTGAAAATTTGCATATTTCTTTTTGTAAAATGTCGAAAATGTCGAAAATTTTCTAGTCCATTTTTTCCGCGCAATTCCTATGTACACTGAACAAATGCTTTCCAGATTTGCGATTTTTCGCGCAAATTTTCCTTTTTCCCAACTCTCCGAGATTTTTCAGCCGCAAACTCTCAATTTTGTCCCATTTTTGAATTTCCTTGAATTTCCCAGACTTTTCTGTTCAATTTCTACCGTATCCCAGTCATAATTCGAAGAGTTTAATTCTCCTCTGCCATTTGCATCAAAAATTACCGAAAGATACCAAGTTTGAAAAACCCATCCGGGACTCGAACCAGGGTCGCTCGGGCTCGGAGACAAGCTAGCTAACCACTCGGCCATTCGAACTTTGATCTATTTTTAGTCGCTGATCATTTCAAAAGGTTCTGTGAGTTCCAGGATTCACGGAAAACAGCTTCAATTCGCTTAATTTTAGAGATTTCGAGGATATTTTCGAGAGATCTCAAATCAAGCAGTTAAACTCGAGAAAAACAAAGAATTTCGACAAAATAACGAGTTATTAGTGGGATCTGGATGTCACGTAATCCATTGAAAGCTTCAGTTTTGAAATATAAGCTACAATTCTTGTGGCCGATTGGTTAGTGAGCTTGGTTCCAAGTCAAACGATCCGGGCTCGAGTCCGCTTGGCTCCAAAGCTCCAATCCAAGTCCACTTGGGTTCCAAAAAGTTCTGTGCGTTCCAGGATTCACGAAAAACAGTTTTAATTAGCCTAACCTTCATGATTTCGGCGTATTTTTTTGCAGATCTCGAATCAAGGCTTAAAACCGAGAAAAAACTGAAAATTTCTACGAAACAACAGGTTCTTCGTG